GCCTCGCGCGCGGCCGAAGTTCCGGAGGCTGATGGCGGGCGAGGGCGCCCCTGCGCCCAGGAAACGGCCGAGCAGCGGGGTGGGCGCCGGCCGAGCCGATCCGGGGGACGACGCTTCCACCTGCAGGCTCTGCTCTGGGTCGTCGCTCATGCTGCGGGCGGAGGACGGGCTGAGCCGGACTCGGCTTCCGCGGGGACGGGGCGAGGGCGGGGCGGGAACGCTGGATCGGCTCTCGGGGAAGGGCCGAGGCACTGGCGCCCAGGCGGTGGGCGCGGACCCGCGTGCCGAGTCAAGCCCGGCCCCGGCCAGCGCGGGCTACTCACCGCAAGTTGAAGGTGGAGCCCAGGAAGGAGGGCCGCAGCGACTCGGCCGCCGTGGCCACGGTGTAGGGTGGCTGTGGCTGGTCCTCGTCCCAGTACGGGTCCTTCTCGGCGGGGGGCAGGTTCTGGTACATGTCATCCACGGATAGCAGGGACACCTGGGGCGGGCAGCCGATCACAAGGATCCTCCTCCCCACACCCGGGCTGATTACTAGCCGGGAGAGGGCGCCAAGGAACTGTCCCCGACTTTTGTCTTCTCTCCATTCCCCGCTCACCTGCAAGTTGCGGTCTATGAGCTGGTTGGTCTCAAAGTCATCGTCATCCTCACCAAAGGGGTTGATGATCTGTTCGGCCACCTGTAGTTACAGAGACGGTGTTTTCTGGGCTCAGAGCCCCACTTTCTGTCCCCAGAGTTGGGGTGGACCCTGTGGCGACGTCTCTGCAGAGCAGGCTGGCATGACTATCTGCAGTGCCCACCTTGAGCCAGCCAGCATAGAAGAAGAACTGCAGTAGAGTGGTGAGCGGCACATACATGTCCAGGTCTCCCAGGGCCGGGGCTGCCTCCTGGCCTGGCTCCAGAGGCTCCTGAGGTTTGGCAGCCCCTGCCTCTGGCTCCACAAACTGGCGGCCAACCAGGGACAGGGCAAAGAAGGAGTATACGGCTATGGTCACCACCTGGAGAAGGAGACACAAGCTCAGAGTGTGGTGCAGTGGGACCATGGGGAGAAATGCTGCCCCTGCCTCTAGCATCTGAGGGGTGTCTGACAAGTAATTAAATAGGTATCAGGGTGTGACAGCACCCATGGGAATGGGGTCTTCTTGGGGGAGATGGAAGGAAGCTTTGAAGAGGAAGCAGTGCCTCAGGGGACTGAACTGATCGGGCAAGTATGAACTCTAATTCTCGGCATCTCACACACAGCACAGGACATACAGTAGGCACCAGGACTGAGGAAGTGAGAGGCAGTTACTTGGGTGTAGACGAGGGGGATGCTGATCCAGTCGTAATGGAACAGCATGCTGCACTTGGCTCGGTACTTGTTCAGCTCCTGGTGAAACAGCAGGAAGAGGAAGTCAGCAGAGATGAGGAAGGAAAAATGGGAAGAAAACAGGGGAGTCCAGCACAAACTAGGCCTGGGCCAGGTCTGGAGGTTCATTCCCATTTAGCTCTCAGACGTGTTCTCAGGCTAGGATGGCTGTAATAGAGGCAGTTTGGCAAAGTAGTTTCTTTTTTTTTTTTTTGAGTTGGAGTCTCTCACTCTGTTGCCCAGGTTGAAGTGCAGTGGCACGCTCCCAGCCATCACAGCCTCAACCTGCCGGGCTCAGGCGGTACTTCCACCTCAGCCTTCCAATTAGCCAGAACTATAGGCACGCGCTACCATGCCTAGCTAATTTTTTTATTTACTGTAGAGACAAGGTCTCGCCATGTTGCCCAGGCTGGTCTCAAACCCACGGGCTCAGGCAATCCTCTGACCTCGGCCTCCCAAAGTGCTGGGATTATAGGCTGGAGCCACTGTGCCCGGCCTGGCAAAGTAGTTTCAAGTACAGCCCCTGGAGCCAGAATGTCTGATCATGAATCCCAGCTCCACTAACTAGCTGTATGATTTAGGCACATTTCTTTTCCACTCTATGCCTCAGTTTCCTCATCTGTGAAAGGAGGGTGATAATAATAGTACCTACCTCAAGGATTGCTGTAAAGGCTGAATGAATTAATATAGGTATGGTTGGCGCCATATAAGTGTTAGGTACTAAAATTATGATTTGTTTGCATAGCTGGAGGGAGGAGAGCAGATGGGTTTGGTCCTGGGCTGACTCACTTCCAGAAGTAGACAGAGAGCAATGTCGTCACGGATTCGCCCATCCCTCCGAGCCTGGGCCGCCAGGTTGGTGAACCAGACACAGGGGACCCAGTACTTGTTGAAGTCGGATTTCAGGCTTTCAAACTTTTTTCTCTCTTCCTGGGACATGAAACCTGGCGGGTAAAGTGCACGGGATGCAGATGCATCCTCTGCCGCTAGGGGAAGCCGCTCCACGATGTGGCTGTCTTTTCTCGCATGCACCGGGTGTCCCGGGACTCACGGTTCCGCGTCCCTGTCGTGGATCAGCCTTCCCCTTCCCTGGAGGCCGCTGCCCAGGACTCCCCCAGCGCAACACCTGCATCCGGCCGTGGGCCAGGCCCCCAGGGGCTCCCCACGGCTCCGCACCTGCGTCCACCACGTGCTCCATGGTGGGGAAGCGCTTGAGCACGCGGGTGCTGACCGAACGCAGCACCAGCACGGACGCCAGGTTGGCGTAGCGGATGAGGGTGCGGCGCAGCAGGCGTCCCTGTTGGTCCACGCCATGAACGCTGGCCGAGATGACGCACATCAGCTGGTCCGGCAGCGGGATGCTTGTGTACTGGGACCACCAGCGGTTCACCACCAGAGTCACATAGAAACCTGGTTGGCCGCCGTGGAAAGAGGGACCAGGAAGGGAGGAAGGAGGGCCTGGGGGTCAGAGAGCTCTGCCCAACACTCCCGCCCCCAGCCAGAGAGCCTGGTCCAGGCCAGGTTGACTCATGGCAGGGAAAGGAAAGCTTTGTTCTAGCGCCCTGCTGTGCCAATCCAGGCCAGGACAGGGAGGAGTGCAAACTTCCTAGGGCAGAGGGGAATTGGGGTTTCAAAATCAAGTAATGGTTAAGCCTGAGATCTGTTTCCCAGGAGAGTGGGGAGAGGGCCGTCATCTCTCTCCAGCTCACTCCAGTGGCCAGAGTGGGGCTATGAGGGCAGCAGGTATCTTGTGCCTTGTGGGGAGTGAGGATCTAGCAAGTGATAGGAAGGGTCTAGGGGTCCAGAGATCCTGGACCCAGCACCTGGCTCCTGTGCCTGCTGTGGTTGACCTCTGGGCTGTGCTCTGTTGGGTAACTGTGACCCTCAGCGCTCTCAACCCAACCCAAGGGTCAGGGAAGACAAGAAGGGGGATACAAGAAGGGGGCCTCACCCAGTACAAAGGACAAGGGGATGAGGTCCGCAGAGCGGTTGCAGTACCGGGCCACCTGAGCATACACTTGCCTCTGCTCCTGGGTCAGCAGCAGCCTGGGGAAGGTCAGATGTAGGCCTGGGTTACAGGGGGGTGGGCCGCCCAGGTCCCCACAGACCAGCCCTGAGACCCTGCTCTCACCGGTAGGTGATGCTGAGCACAGCATACAGGGCCACAAAGAGTAGGAACTCCTTGTAGAGGAGCTTGTAGATGCTTCCCCTCCATCGGAGAAGCAGACCAGAGAAGCCTCCGAAGCGGGCTTCGGCCACTTTGAGGGTGTATGAAACCGTCATGGTGCTGGGACCTGAGGCAGGATGTCACAAGAGTTGCCTCCAGAGCTGCCCCTCTCCTTAGCTTGCCTTCCTGTCACCAACTTAGTTCCCCAGGCAACCTCCCTTCAACTCTGGCCACACACTCCCCTCCACCTCCCAGCCCTCACCCTGTGTCAGTAGATAAGGGGGTATGGAGCCATGAAGCAGACAAAGCACACCCCCATCTGCAGAGCTTAGTAGTACATGGGTAAAGCCAGGGTGGAATTGGGCAGAGCAGAGGTGAGATCCGTACCCCTTCATGCATGAGGCTTCCCCAAGTTCCTCCTCAGCCTGCAGAACTAGGAATAACCAGATTCTGAACTACTGAGATGACACACCCGCTTTCAGCCACTACTACTCCTTGGGCCTTGCTCTGGAAGCTGATTATCTAGTCTCCAAAGGTCCAGGACACTCTCACCCCCACCTCATATCTGCCTACCTGCTCTGGGCAGCAGCCTGTGTGGAAGAAGAACTAGGCTAGCCTTCACCCCCCAGCAACTTAAGTACCTCCTGGGCCCATAAAGTGAGGCTATCACTGATGGATTGAGGCTGTCACCCGGCTTCCCCTTGTCCTGGGAACTGGGTGTGTCTCCCTACCCCTGCAGGGCTGGCCTGGCCTTGCAATGGCAGAAGTGGCACCTGCACTGGCCCCACAGCTCACACAGAAGACACCATGACCTTCAAGCCAGGATGACAGAAATTACTGTCCCACGCTTCAGGTGAGAAGACAGATGCGTGATAAACTGTTATAATAACACCAGCTGCTAATCACAGAGCAATGACTAAATGACAGACACTGTGCCAAGGGCACTACCACATCATCCTCTCATGGAATCCTCATCACAACCCCATGAGGTAGGAGTCATCCCCATTTCACAGGTGAGGCTCTAAGAGGCAAGCAGCTTACCAACGGTCCCACAGCTAGGACATGTTGGAGGCAGGCTTCAGAACCAGAGCTGATAGACTTCCAAGGCTGGAAGTGACCCAACTGGGCCTAGACAAGAGCTTGAGCTCTGGAACCAAGTCCTGTGCACTGGCCACATTGCCAGGCTTCTTCTTTTTTTTTTTTTTTTTTTTTTTTTTGAGTTGGAGTCTCACTCTGTCACCCAGACTGCTGGAGTGCAATGGCTGCTCCCGGCCACCACAGCCTCGCCTACTGGGCTCAGGAGATCCTTCCACCTCAGGCTTCCGAGTAGCCAGAATAACAGGCATGCGCTACCACGCTCGGCTGACTTTTTGATTTATTGTAGAGATGAGGTCTACAATAAACCCGCGGGCTCAGGCAATCCACTCACCTCAGCCTCCCAAAGGCACGGGATTACCAGGCTGAGCCACCGAGCCCGGCTTGCCAGGCTTCTTATCTAGGCTCTGGGGGTCCTGGCCAGGCCCTTCACTGTCCCCATGCCACAGGGCTGACAGACACAGATCTGGGAGCTCAAGCCTAGGCTCAGGCCCCTTTAAGTCCAACATACTGACTTCCAGGGGTGGCTAGGACTTGAGTGGGCCTCAATGCTCAGGGCTTGGAGCACTGTAGGCAGTGAGCTTGGCAGCTATTACAATGAAATGTCAAATCCGTTCCCTTTGGTTTCCTCCTACTGGCCCTCTGTTGCCTCCCAAGGCTTCCAAAATCAGACAGTTCCTCAAAAATTAGGAGGCAGAGCTGGGTGCAGCAGCTCATACCTGTAATCCCAGCACTTTGGGAGGCCAAGGAGGGAGGATTGCTTGAACCAGGAGTTTGAGACCAGCCTAGGCAACATAGTGAGATGTTTTTACCAAAAAAAACTTCCTTAAAAATTAGCCAGGCACGGTGGCGGGCACCTGTAGTCCCAGCTACTTGGGAGGTTGAGGCAAAAGGATAGCCTAAGCCCAGGAGGTTGAAGCTGCAGTGAGCCATGATGGTGCCACTGCTCTTAAGACTGGGTGACCAGGTGAGACCCCAATTCAAAAAACAAAAGAAATGAGGAGACAACCTTTTCTTTGATGCCCTGCTAGTGTGTTCTTAGGCCAAACAGTACTGGATCCTGGCTTTTAAGCTGGATATACTAGGCCCTCTGAGACTCACCCAACTCCACCCCCATCGCCATTCTGCCCAGCTTATTTTTAGCTGTTCCTTCCAAGGTGCAGCTCAGAGCATCCCTGGGAAGCCTTCCAGGATCTCCCCCCAGGTCACTCCTCAAATCCCACTGGTTTCCTCGCTTGTAGCAGTTAATCACATTGGTCTATACTCTATTTACAAAGAAGTCTCTAACCCGTGAGGCCCTTGAGGACAGGATTGGATATGATTTATCTAGGTAAAGCTAGGGAGGACTTGAAACCAGACAAGCTTCTTGGCTTTTTTCTTTTTCTTCCTCTTCATTCCTTTGTCTCTCTGTCTTCTCCTCGTCCCTCAAAACAAGTCATGGCCTGGCTGGAGTTATGTTCTCCATCCAGGTCCCAGTTGAGATGTCCATATGAGGAAAGGACCGGAGTGTGTGTGTGTGTGTGTGTGTGTGTGTGTGTATGTGTGTGTGTGTGTGTTTTCCTGAGGTCTGAAAGATGACACAGGACCTGACCTGGGGAGGACAGGATACCAGCTGCAGGGCCTCAGTCATCATGCCATGTAGCCTTCCTCCACTCTGATCTGTGGCTTCCCTAGAGCATCTGGGTTGTATGCCACTTAAAGATGTTCTAGGACTTGGGAAGCCAGGTGACCCTGGGAGTGGAGGAGCTCAGGCTCTGTGTCCTCTGATGGCTCTACCTAGGCAACCCAGCTGGCTGCATTTCAGTCCTTCATCCCGGCCCTATCTCTGGCCCTCACATTTCTGCCTGTTACCAGCACTCTGGTCTGTGAATTTCCCACAGAGCCTGGGATAAAAGTGCATGACCTGAAGCTTGTGCTAGAGGAAGGGGGCAGTCCCCAGGACCACCCTGCCCCTCCCTCCTGAATCACCATATCTTCCTTCCCAGCTGCTGACGAGTCCCCTTGGTTTATGGTCCACAAGAGGGAACCACACAGCTCATAAATCACTTACTCCACCCTTCCTTATCCTCCTCCATCTCTGCCTCTCCTTTCTCACTGGTCCTGCCCACCATGCCACCGTCACCTCCTCACAGCTGAGAGCTGGGTATACAGCTTGGCCATGAACAGCATAGAGTCTGAAGCCAGACTGCCTAAGTTTCCAAATCCAGACTTCATCATGGTCACCAAGATCATCAAGCTTAATGACCTTGGGTGAGCCATTTAACCTCTTAATTTCCTCATGGGGGAAATGGGGCTGATCATACCTATCTCATAGAGTGGTTGTGAATATTAGATCAGTTAATAGTATCAAATACTGCCAGGTGCAGTGGCTCATGCCTGTCATCCCAGTACTTTGGGAGGCTAAGACGAGAGGATTGCTTGAGACCAGCCTGGGCAACTTGATGAGATCTCGTCTCTACAATAAATTTTAAAAATTAATTAGGCATGGTGGCATGCACCTGTAGTTTCAGCTACTTGGAAAGCTGAGGCAGAAGGATAGCCTGAGCCCAGCAGGTGGACGCTGCAGTAGCCATGAATGTGCCACTACACTCCAGCCTGGGTGACAGTGAGACTCTGACTCAAAAAAAAAGTATCAAATTCTCAGAATAGTGGAGGGGAAGTGGGAAGTGCACCTGTAGCTATAAGCACATCTTCTATCTCAGACTGGTTTTAGCCACTTCCACACCCACCAAGGACACCGGCCATCCTCTTACTGCTGAATCCAGTGGCTTCTCCCAACCTAACCTAACTTGGCATCTCTCATTCTTTTTTTATTTTATATTTATTGATTGATTGATTGATTGATTGATTGAGTTGGAGTCTCACTCTATCGTTCAGACTGGAGTGCAGTGGCCGCTCCCGGCCACCGCAGCCTCGACCTGCTGGGCTCCGGCGATCCTTCTGCCTCAGCCTTCCAAGTAGCTGGAATTACAGGCATGCGCTACCATGCCTGGCTGATTTTTTGATTTATTGTAGAGATGAGGT